CCCCAAAACCCCAAAACCCCAAAACCCCAAAACCCCATGCAGAAAATTTTTCCAGTGATAATAGAAATTTAAATCCTAATTATTACCAATGATAATTAGTATTTAAGAACATAAATGAGTAAGCATGCATTTTCAGTAATTGTATTGATAGTAGCAAAGTATTATTCCGAATGGTTGCCCTAAGATGATATATCCTAGCCAGAAAATAATGTTGTTTGTATTTGGATGAACCACCTATTAAATTAATTCCATTAAATTTTACTCCTTTAAGTTTATGCTGTATGACCATTATAGGAACATTGACAATCATAAGGAAGAAGGCAATAAAGTTGAACACTCTAAAGACTCCAACTACGATGTACTCATGTGCGATTGCGGATACAAAGAAAGTCAAGAAAAGTGCAACTGGCTTGATGACCTTTCTTCTTCTTAAAGGGAAGTAGACATGTCTAATAAGGAAACTGTGAATGGGGAAGTTCCACTTTCTCCAGTATTCATTAAGGTCGCCTGCGTTCCAAAAATCACTGTAAAATCTTCTATCTGCAAACATTGTTATTTCTCCCCACATATTCATATAAGAGTGGAAGAAAGAGTAGAACATAGTAAGCCATAAGTAGGCAGCAGGAACACTCATCTATAAAGTGAGGAATAGTACTTTAAAATAGTCTCTTTCTCTAAGTGGCACAACAGCTTCCTTAGCAACAGGAAGCATATGTTGATAGAATAATTATCTATTGCTATGTAAATCGAATATTAGCTTACGCAATAAGAAGGTTAAGAAGAATAAATTCAATTAGTTTTTAGATAATGTAGCCTATTCTTCTTCTCTCTGTTGAGGGATAGCTGAATTAGAAGCAGCAAGTTGGTGAGACCAGATATCTCACATAGTGCCTGAAATTAATGTTATTTGGGTACTTGAGTGCTTCTTGCTATTGTTCTGGAGGTAAATTGTATACATTCTCCTCAACTTAATCATCAGAATCCCCAATTTTTCTCTCTAATCTTCTAATCATAACTCTATTATCATGCATGATATGATGGAAACTAATTAGCTTCAAGACTTATCCACAAGTAAACATCATTAAAAGAGTAGCAGCTGCAGGGTGAGAATGAATTGACCAACTAGCGACTATTGGATAGACAAGATTAGCAGTAAGATTCAGGACTATAAGCCCATAAACCTATAAAAATAATGATTCATCTTTTATTTTACCAATTCTCTCTTAATCTTTGTTGAAGCCATAATCTCAATCCAAAATGAAAATGCTGGAAAGGTCAATAGTAGGATAAGAGCAGCGACTGTTTGATAGTTCGCTGGATCATATAGTTTTTCACTCTTAATGTAGTCACGAACCTAAATTTGTTGAAATTTATGGAAATTATACCTCTTAAAGAATGATCCAGTCGTGTCTCTAATAACTTTCTATCACACTTCTGATTGTGTAAGATAAAAGAATTAGAACCAATAGATTGACAAGACCTCTGTAAGATGTAGTATCTGCATTGTCTGCCAAATATGAATTATGCTATTTCTCGTGAATCTAAACTACTAGTGGTCTTCCAATATCTTGGCTGAAGCTCTAATTTTCCTTTTCAATTTAATCTTATTTTTATTCTCTTTCTGGTTGAGATTAGAGCTTCTAGAAAGATTACTCTACACTCTCCTTGAAGTGTAGTAAACCTCGAATCTTTTCATCAAATACCTTTCTGATATAGTAACTAAAATAAATGTTAAACATATTTATGTTCAAGTCATACTCTTCTGATTAATCTTTTTCTGAGCGAGGAACAAAGAATCTAAATAGATTCAAGAAGCTAGGAATGATTGAATCCCCTCTCTACGTAGAATCTTATGAATGATTGTCTGATGGAGATAAATTCCCCTCCTTTTTCTGTCTCTCAGATATCTTTTTATTAGACATTTATGATTAAAACTATAATCCTAATTAATCAGAGCAAAAAACTCAGTCTGATACTAAATTCTATTAAAAGTTGTGATGTCACATTATAAATTATTGCGATGATTATGCCCTAAGGGGTTTTGGGGTTTTGGGGTTTTGGGGTTTTGGGGTTTTGGGG